TGCCACCATTTCTGGGCACAGTCACTGGTTTGCATCAGGGAGTCACCGGAGGGGTGGCCTTGCTTCCCTGGTACAGATTTGCACCCCAGGAAAAGCAGAGGATTTTTACCAACTTGAGGAGCAACTAGTCCCAGCGAGGGTTCTCCCAGAGCTGGTCAATCAAATGTCAACACTGAGGAGTGGAAAGAACACAAGGAATGTTCATGGGAAACCAGAAAATACTTGATGGATGTGCACGTGTATCTTTAATTTCACGATCAGACGCCCCTCCATGGACCTATTAACTCTGTTTATTGGGGAAATTAAAATTTACACATCAAAAGAGATTGTTTCCCTATTGATTTTAGCAATTGGCTAATGTTGCTGTCTGATGTCAGGCATCAACCTACTATTGAAAATTATTGGGTCTTATTGGTACATTAAAATGTCCTCTGTGTTCCTTTCGAGGTGTTTCTTTAAGTGCTCCTAAAATGCCCAAGTCCCTAGCCTGGGAGAGCATTCCAAACAGAAGAGAATGAGCGAAATGTAGGCGAGAGCTCACTTGGCGCGTGTATGTGGGGAGGCTTAGCATTGCTGGAGTATGGAGTTTGTGGCGGTGGTGGGACAAGGCCGGGGGGGGGGGGGGGGGTGGCCAGAGCATGGGGACCCTGGAGGCCTGTGTAGGGTTCAGGCTTTATTTTGTAGGTGATGGGAAGCCATTGATAGGTTTTAAATCAAGGGCGACATAGATATGTGTGTGCGCGCACACGCACGCACATGTGATTGCTGTAGGGACGGACCCTGAGGAGCCGCAGCTCAGGAGGCGGAGCTACGGGAGGCTCCAGTTCAAGTGAAAGATGGTGCCAGTCTGAACAAAGGCAATGGTGGTACAAAGGCCAAGAATGCAGTGGGCATGAGAAATATTTACATAGGAAGTGAAGTGAGCAGGGCCAGGTAACTGATTGACTCTGCAAAGCAGAGTGGGAGGGCAGAGAATATTCAAGAGAAACCGCAAAACGCTTGAAGGATGTGCATGTACCTTGAACTGCACAATCAGATGCCCCTCTGTGGACCTTGATGCAAAGCTTGGAGGATGTGCCCCAGGTTTCCAGTAGGAGTGAATGGCAGGTGGTTGTGCTGCCAACTACAACATAGGATTCAGGCCAGGGAACCAGCCTCACTAGGGGAATGGAGACGTTCCCTTCAGATATTTTAAGTTTGCTGGGCCTGTAGCAAAGGGCAATAGGCAGAGGAATAGGAAACCTTAAGTTTCCAGATCAGGCACAGGGGAGAGCGGGCCTCGTGCCAGATGCCGGGAATCAAATCCCAGCATCATCGCCAGGGCGGTCAGTTTTCATGAGGTGGTGCGGCAGTAACGGATGACCCCCAAATCCCAGCGGCTTACAACAGCGAACTTTTATATCCTCACTGACATAGAGGGGTCCGGCACAAATAACGCCCTTTTCTTTAATTACAAAATCTTTTATTACAAAATCATAAGCATGTAATTCTGTAACATAACAATATCACACTCTAGCACACCGTATGACAATTATGTGAAATGTTCAAATTAAAACCATAAATTATTTCACCCATATTATTACCCTACCAACCATACTCAAGTAACAGGCGTTACTTCTGCCAGACCCTGTCTATGAAGGCAGTGGGCTCTGGACCCAGGCTCTCAGTGGAACCCGTTTCGGCCACGTTCAGAGGGAAAAGAGCAATGGCAGAGGCACGGGATGGCTCTACCACTTCTTAGCCCCACCTGGCCCTTCTGCTCACTTTCTATTGGCCAAAGCTGTTCATCCGGACAAGCCTCGAGTCGATGATATGGGAAGGCACTCTCCTCCCCTGGGAGGGACGGCGTATGCCAATGGTGACCAAGCTGTATTCCTCTCGTGGAGAGGTAGGAAAAGGACTGGGCCCAACCATAGGCTCTACCACAACCGCTAAGCGGCTATAAAACTCGGGGTTTAGTCAGCCTTGTTCTGCCTTTGTTCTCTCATCTGTAAGACCAGAATGCTTAGCAGTACCTCTTAGAACAGTGCCCAGCACAGTGTAAACACTGTATGATTGTAAGTAGCCGGAAGGGAGGAGGGAAGGGGAGTTATTTTTTAATGGGTTCAGAGTTTCATTTTGGGAAAATGAAAAAGCTCCAGGGAGGACAGTGTCAATGGTTGCACAACAATGTGAAGGGACTTAATGGCATAGAACCACACATGTAAAATGGTGACACTTTTATGTCATGCATTATTTACCACAATTAAAAAGATGGAGGTAGATGGATCATTTAGGGAGAGCAACAGAGGGAAAGGCGGTGCACAGAAAGAGAAGGCCTCGGGGACCAGCAGTGCGGGCAACGGCACTGAGAGAGGAGTCTGCGTGGGAGGCAGGCAAGGAACATTCTGGACAGACAAAGCAAACCTGGAGAGGTTGATGTCCTCTGAAGCCACTGGATTCAGGTTAGGAGGGAGTTTTACAGGGCCTGAAGGGGTCTGTTTTGCTTGGCTTTGAACCTGAACCTTCCCTTTGGCACCTTGATTTGGTGGCTCTGCTTTCCTCTGCCAGATCCCGATGATGCCATTTCCGGTCGCTGCCCACACCTGGCCCAGGCTGCTTCAAAGCCAAATCCTGGCCAGCTCTCCTCTTATGGGTCCCTCCTTACCTCCCCTCTCTGGTCAGTCCTATTATGTCAGCTGTTCACATCTCTGTGAGACAAATCTTTCTTAATTAAAAAGACAAACAATAAGGGATATTTTTTTCTTGTGTTATTTTTAATTCTATTGATACATATTGTTTTACTCTACAAAACAAAACCTCCAAACTTGTATTTTGAAAATTAGGGATGGTTACCCTGGCCATGAGGCTCAGTTGGTTGAAGTGTCATTCTATGCAATGAAAGGTTGCTGGTTCAATTCCCAGCAGGGCACATGCCTAGGTTGTAGGTTCAATCCCTGGTTGGGGCGCGAGGCAACCAATTGCTGTTTCTCACATTGATGTTTCTCTCTTTCTTTCTCTCCCTCTCTCCTCCCAACCCCCCCTCCCTGCCTCTCTTTCTAAAATCAGTGGAAACATGTCCTCAGGTGAGAAAAAGAAATTAGGCCAGCTAGTTTATGGTCAAGATTCCTTTATTAACAAAAGAGTTCATCTTTTGTTTATAGAACTTTGACTATTTGATAAGCCATAGGCTAGAGAAGCTGAAAGCTAAAATTTTACAATGGGGAATAAAGACAATATAATTGCATGGGAGAAAAGATTTCTTTTTTTTTTTTTTGGCAATGATTACATTTACACCCCCATGTTTTAAAGAACCTAAAGGGGGCTACCTTGTTCTAGATGATTTCTCCCCCCGTTTTTGTTGTTTTTAGACACTGGCCCATCGTCACGTGATGTCAGAGGATTGCACACAGAGCTGTGGTTCTACGCTCTGCAAGGAAAAAGACTTGGGAACTTTGCTTTTTAATTGGTTTTATTTCTCCAAGAGTTTTCTTACTAAGTGAATTGACCTTGCACAGTTAACTTGATACAATCTTAAGAAAATATATGAAGTATGCCTTAGAAAAAATTATGCATGCTCTAACCAGCCATCTCATTTGGCAATCATTTTCCACAACAGTCATCCTTTTGGGATGGGGAGGTGGGGTTCTTTTTACAAGTGAATGATTAAATATACATACAAGAGATCCAAACTCTTGCTGACCTCCCTCTGCGACAGCAGCTGGCATCGGGAGGCAGAGCACTGGGGCAGGCAGGGGGTCCCTTGAGGCTTCAGTTGCCCCAGGCTGTTTGGCCATCAGTCCTGGAGTGTCACCCCAGGGGACGTGGGCTGTCCACACACATAAACTTAGCAGCTCCTCCTCTAATAACAGCATTTGCAGACTACATCGGAGGGGCTCAAACGCATCCCGTGGAGAAAGAGCGACTGTCTTGTTTGTCCTTTTTCTGCCCCCTTTTGCAGCCAGAGTCTTTTGCAAGTACAGGGCGCTGCAGCTGGCGAACCCTCCTCTCCAGGGCTCAACATTTCTAGGCCGTCACCCAGCAGCCCTAGAACCCAGGGGACGCTTTCCAGCCCTCAACTCAGTAACGTGAACATCTGGGTAGTTTTTCAATCCAGAAATGGTGGATTTCAAAGGAAGAGCTGCTCCATCATTCCGGGCGCTGCTCAACGGTCCCCGCTGTGCTCCTGAATTGATTCTGAAAAAGCAGGTGGTATCCTGGGTCCTTTCTCCACCCCTCCGCCAGCGCCCCCAGTCAAGCCGGGGGGACCGGCCTGCGCCCTGGGCGGGACTGCGAGTCCAGGGACTGCCCAGCTGGTTTTTCTGACTGTCTCCTCTCAGTGCTCATCAACTTGCCTGCCTCACAGCCAGCAAGTTGGGAGACGGGGATGGCTTCTGATTTGCAGCAGCTGAATTTCTGTCCTCAACCCTCTTCACACTGATGTTTCCTGGGGTTTGGGGACAGCTCAGGACCCTCAAAGCCTCAGATATACAAAGGCAAGGTGGTCTAGGTGTGCGTGTGTGCGTGCATGCGTGCGCACGCGCGTGTGTGTATCTCAGTCATTTCCTTTCTTTCAGAGCGTTAGCTTTCATGAGTCACCAGCCGGTCCCAAGGCTCCCTTCCCTGCAGGCCAGGTGGTGTCCAGGGCTGGAGGAGTCCTGGCAGGTGGGAGGAGGGTGGCAGGAGGAGGCAGGGGCAGCAGCCAAGAGACCCTGAGAAGCAGTGTCCTTGGAGTTGTTCCCTGGATTCACTCAGGTCCAGTCTGGCCACTGTAAGATTCCACGAGTATTGTGAGAAGCAAAGGCCCTGGGGAAGGGGCTGCTAAGACAGAGCAGTGCTGGACAGAACTTTCTGGAAAACTTCGAGCCTCCCAGGAATGCTGGTCAGCTTCATATCCAAAAGTCACCGCAAGATGTGGAGAGGCTGCCCTGGGGTAAGTGGGAGAAGGTGAAGGTGAGGCTGGGGTCAGGGCAGTTGGGTGGAGGACCCAGTCCTCAGTCTTTCGTTCTCCATGGAGAATCTCACTCTGAACTTGGAGAGGCTGCAGAGTCCCCATCCTCGGGGTCCTGCCCATGAGGGGAGACGGGCTGACCCCCCTTCACACGCTTCCACTTCATCCTTCGGTTCTGGAACCACACTTTGACCTGGCCAAGGAAACAGAGGAGCTGGGTCACTACAACCACTTCCCCAACTGATGCTCAAGGGAGTCGGGGTACAGCTCCAGGGACCCCACTGCTCGTCCCTCCTCACTCCTCCAAAGGCTCCAGGAACTGAGACCAAAGGGAGGACACAGCAATCTGCTCAGAGGTCTGTCTCCAGATAACAAAAGCCCTACGCAGATGTGAGGACAGGTTATAGGCCCTACGTCATTCTTCATTAGTCCCTTTCACAGCCCAGAACAAAGGAGTACCAGCCTCGCCTTTACGCGCATGTATAAAGCACTGTCCAGCTTATATAGCTCTGGTCTGCCCATTTTCCCATCTGAGCCTCAGCATTTCCTGAAGAGGGGGGTATGACCTGGTTTCAAGATGGAGACCCAGAGAAGGTGGGAGACCCAGAGAAGGTGGGAGACACATCCCGAGAGTCACAGGGCTAGCAAGTGGTGGAGGCAGGGTTGGAATCTAAGTCTTCTGATTCTAAATCCAGGGCTCTGGCAGAGTGCTGTATCAACTGAAAGCTGCCATCCCCCTATTAATGCTATTATCAGTATTATTCTATTTTACTCTGTGTCAGAGCAAGGGCGTGGGTGGAATGCTCTGAGGGAAAGCCCAAAACAAAGGGCTAGGAAGTCCTTCTCAGCGTGTGCCCAGGAACCGGCGCATACCGGAATCATCTGGAGAACTTATTAGAAATGCAGATCCCAGGCGCACGCATTATTGCTGCAAAGTCGCTCTCTGGAGCTCCAAAATCTTCATTTTAAACAAGCACCTCGGTGATACCCATGCGTGCTCAAGTTGGGGAATAACCAGATCAGAAGTTCCAGGGCTGGATGCATGTGAGAGCAACCTGGGGACTTTTAAAAAACGCTGATGCCTGCACTCCATCTCAGTCCCATAAAGCCAATCTCATCAGCTATGAAGGTCCCCCCAGGGGATTCTCCGAGACAGCCGCAGTTGAGGTCCACTGGACTGGGCAGAGAGAAGAAAAAGGAGAAGACGAAGCGGGGGTGGGGGGAAGCGGGGTGAGAGCCAAGGAAAGGAGGGACGCCCAGGAGAGGGGCTCCCTGGGGCTCCCACCTGCCTCTCGGAGAGATCCAGGTTTACAGCGATCTCGTATCTCCGGAGCCGGGTCAGGTAGTTGTGGTGCGCAAACTCCGCCTCCAGCTCCCGCAGCTGTTCCTTGGTGAACGCCGTCCTCTCCTTGCGGGCCTTGCTGGCGCCCTCCAGTTTCCTCCGGTTCTCTTGGTTGTCTGAGGAGAGAGGGCCCCAAATAGGAAAACAGGAGCCTAAAGGGCCTCGGTTCCCTTTCGTTTGTCCTCAAGCAGTGGGGCAGCCTTTTCCTAGCTCTCTTATTTTTAAAGGATGCTGAGAAAGAACCCACATTGTCCCTGTATCTTTCCTTCTAGTGTCTTAGCACCCTGAGAACCGGGAAGTTTTCGGACTCCCAAACTCAGGTGCCAACCTCTCCACTCCCACTTTTTTTTTTTTTTAAATCCCCAAAGCATAAGAAGCTGCCTTTGGCTGTTTAATGGTCTCTGCCACCCTGCTCAGCACCGCCAGTCCCCCCTCCCCCCGCCCCAGCTTGACGGTCACAGTGGCCAAGATGCTCTAAGACAGAGGTTCTCCGTCCTCTGTGATTAGCGGTACCTGAGACCTGTTAGAAATGCACATCCTGGGGCCTCACTCCCCCTAGATCTTCGGAATGAGAGACTCTGGGAGTGGGGCCCAGGGGTCTGTTTTAACAAGCCCTCTAGGTGATTCTGACTCATGGTCAAGTTTACAAACCACTGCCCTAAGACTGTGCTGAAAGGTGTTCTGGTGGCAGCATCAGCAGGGAGCTGGTCAGATGTACAGGATCTCAGATCATTCTTTTGGCTCCCCGCCCCTGAGTGGGCGCACGCGCACGCACACACACAGATACACAGAACCAGAATCTGCATTTTAGCAAGATCTCCAGGGGGGCTGTGAGCACACGTAAGTCAAGAAAGTGCTGCTTTAGGCTTCTTTCCCCCTTTGACACCAGGAGGGGGCTGGAAAAGCTCGCCTGTGAAGGAGGCCCCAGTTGGCCGCAGCAGGGGCTCAACTGTTACCTGCTAACAGGGTTCAGGGACCAAGTACAGTACATGTATCAGTCACTTAGTCCCCACAATATCCCAGCTAGGTGAGTTCTAGTATTAGCCCTATTTTATAGAGCAGAACATTAAGCACCGAGAAGTGAAGCCGGTTGTCAAAGTTCATCCAAGTGCAGTCAGCCAGTGAATGGTGGAAGCAGAATCAAACCCAGGCAGTTGACTCACATACTGTTCAAGTGAACCATATTCAGGAAGGGTTTACAAACTGTGAAGTACTGTACGAATGAAAGGTACTGTAAGCTATCTCGCGAGCAGGGTAAGAGGGCGCTACCTTCACGTTTAGTGGTGGCGGTGACGGGTGGAGACCCGCGCCTTTGCGCAACTAGCTAAGAGTGGGTGCCACATGTCTGGTGCAGGGCCATAGGAACCACTTCTGCAGCCTCCAAAGTTAAGAAGTCTTTCACTTCCTCGTCCCGGTTTTACAGACATGGAGGCCGTGCCTCACAGGTGCTTTGCTGAAAGCTGCACCCCACCGCCCACCCGGTTGGGAGTGTTGTCGGGGAGACTGTTTTCAGGGGCGAGTCTAAACTGATCAAGGGTGGCGGGTGAGGCAGGGAGGCGGCTCACACTCCTGGCCAAGCTGCCACATGACCGGCTGGGGTGGGATGTAGAGACCCCGCGTGCCACTTCCCATCTCAGCCCTTCCTTTTCCTTCTTTCCATTCAGCCCCCTGGCGTTTCAGGTTCCTGGTCCACCGCCCCCGCGGGCGCAAGCCCTGGAGAAGGGCCGGCGTGGTGGCGCCGGTTAAAGCGATTTGCCCACCGCCCACCCCCGGCGCCCGGTGGAGAGGGGAAGACGAGTGGGCGCCGCAGGCATCCTGGGAACCGAGAAGGAGGAGGAGGGGCCGCCCCCGGGGCTCCCTGATGTCCTGATGCCCAAGTGCTGGGGTCGTGGGGCGCCACACAGTGGGCTGCCTGCCGGACGCGCGCGCAGGCAGGAAGGGGGCGCCTTCTCTGGCCCGCAGGGCCCGCCTGGCGGCCTCTGGCTCCCGGCTGCAGAAGGCCGGCCCAGGCCCCTCCGGAAGCGGGAGCGTGGGCTGCAGGGGAAGGACGCGCAGCCCCAGCCGGGTCCCCCAGGAGTCCTCGTCCTTGGCCGCCGCGGGCCCGGGAGGGCGGCGGTCACGCAGTGGAGGGCCGGCCCCTGGAGCACAGCCCGGTCCCCTGACCCGCAGGAGGCCGGGAAACCCGCTCATTTCCCGCCCCCTCCTGTCCCGGCTCAGTGTTTTCCAGCCCTTCCCTTTAACAACTGAGGGGGCGTAAAACCCTGGATCTCCTCGCTGGAGCCTCTGAGGAAGGCACTCGACGTCCCTGGGCTTCAGTCACCTCATCAAGAAGTCGGGGAAAATGAAGCACCTACCTGCCAGGGTTATTGGGAAGACTGGAAGAGCTAATGTGCGGAAAATGAAATGCTGGAAAAATATAAAGTACACTTCCATTTTATCAGCTCCACGAGATGCCATGCGAGGGGCTGGGCTAATAACAGCTGGCGGTTCCTGAAGGCTTTCGTGTGCTTAGATGCAGCTGCCACTTTAATCCTCCCCACACAGCACCCTTAGGAGTAGGTCCTAGCATTATCTGCCTTGGCATTGTCACAGGGATTTGTGATAATTTGATTAATGGCTCGGTCTCTCTCTCTCTCTCTCCAGGGATGTAACTGCTCTTTCTCACTTGCTACTGTACCTGGCACATAGGAGGTACTTGTTAAATAGTTGCTAAATCCTTCTCAGACACAGAGGAGGAAGCAGCCTCCGAGAGGCCCAGGACCTCGGCCAATGTGCTGGGCAGCTGGTAGGTGGCGGAGGTGAGATTCGAACCGAGGTCCAAGCAGACTAGAGCTGAGGCCATCAATGCTAGTAAGTAAGCGTCAGGTTCTCCAGTTTGTGTCTGGCTGGCTGGATGCAGCTGTACCTTGACAGCTCAGCTCACCTCCCCCCGATGCCCATGCCCTCTCACCCCTTCTCCTATTATGTTTAATAGGTGCCCTGTGGGATCCTGGAAAACAACCTCCTATCCCACCCACACAGTCCTAAACATAATCCTCCTGAGAGAGCTAAGGGAAGGTAGGAAGAAGACCCCTGTTGAGTTGGTCTTCAGCTGGTTATGCGGGCAGCTGAGCACTGTCCACCAAGCCACGCCACTCCCTATTCACTCTCCTCTCCTGTCTCTAGTGCCCGGGTTTAGGTGTTAACAGCAGAGGCCTCAGGATGGGAAAGCAGGAGAGATAGGACAAAGAATTGTGAGCCGGGAACTGAGTGTCTGACGCACCATGTAAACCTTGGGCAGTCATTGCCGCGGGGGGCAGGGGAGGGAGTGTGGGGGGACATTCGCACCCGGAGGACATGAGTCCCTCATCATCTTCCCAGAGGGGGAAGCCCTTTTTTCACTAGTAGAAATGACAAAGGGGCCAGAAGTACGGGAAGCTAGCTATGAGACCGGAAGTGGAAGTTATTTTTCTCTTTGTTCTGCAACATTTTCATCAAGATAGAAAAGACAAAGAAAAACTCTGAGCACTTTCATGCCATTTCTGGCCCCAGGGGGCGGGCGGTGGCGGTGTTCAGTCTGCTGGCTCACGTGCACGGCTCACGTGCACACTTCCTCCAGGACACCTGATCCCGAGTACCCCTTTGCTGGGGAGCCTCCCTCCCTCCCTCTCTGGGTCTCAGTTCCCCGTGTATAGAAGTATGCAGCTGGGCTGGGTCTCCTTTCCCTCAGAGGGCTGGTTTCAGTCTTCTTCCGATGCGCAGCTCTGATGTCCTCTTCTCTTCCTACCCCCTCTTGTGCTGAGAACCTTTGGCCTTGGCCCAGAGACCCCTAACAGTTTCAACTATTCGCATCTTGGCCCCTGGTTCCTCCCTTCCGTCAGATCTGGGGTCTTGCTGAGTGCTCTGATCCAATTCCCTGTCCCCCCCACCCCAGCACCCCCGACTTCTCAAGGTCCTCAGCCTGGGAATTTCTCTCTCCCTCTTACTTGCAAAGCTCATCACCCCAAGCTGAGTGCAGGGCAGTTGTGTTTGCAGAGGTCTCTGAGGACTCCTTGAAGAGCCTGAGCCTTTCTGGCTCCAAGAAAGAGCTCCCTGACCTTGGGCAAGTCTTGTAAGTTCTCTGAGCTTCGGTTCCCTCATCTGCAGAATGAGAATAGCGGCATCCACTGAGATCAGAAGACTGCTGAGAAGGTCAAATGACACGGGCAAGGTGTGTCTAACACCTGGCGTAGAGCCTGGCACACTCTGCCGAGACTCAAAGCAGCAGCAGAAGTTCTACTGGAGACGATGTTGGAGAGATGCTTCACGGTGGAGGTCAGAGTCCATGCTCCTGAAGGTACTGTGCCCCCAGAGCTGTGTGAAAGGCATGCTTTTTCAACGTCTGGCCTTTTAAATATTTTCCCTTTTCTACACTTTTCTATTTCTCTGCTTGGATCTGTGTCTCTGGCCACTATTGGCCACAATCGTGTCAGCCTTCCAGGGGTCCATGGTTCCAGGCACAGTAACTAGCCCTGATCAGGATCACACAGCGGTCCTGCTTCTCTCTCTCTCAGGGACAGCGAGTGCCTCTTCCGGGACAGCAGAGGCAGGAGGCTGGCGCTCTGCCGGCTGCCCCCGCCCCTGCACAGCCCTCTGAGCGAGCAGGGCCACGACGGAGCAGTCGGCAGTGCCCAGAGAAATGCAAACAGGATGTGTGTGATTGCGGTTTCCACCATGAGCTTCCACACCACCCAAGTGAAATTATTTCATAAATAGCTGTCACTTTTGGCAGACCTTCCTAAAGTTAGCAGACAGCTTTATCGGAGCTACAAGGAAGTTCAGACAGACTCTGGGGAACATGCCTTTTTGCAGTCCTGTATTCCTCCTCCCCAACTCTCCCAGCCATTTTAGATGCATTTCTAGCCAAGAGATAGAAAGCCATGTGCCATGTACTCATTGCAGTTGACAATGTGTTTCTTTCCCCCAGAGAAAAACCTCTTTTGGGCTTTCATAGTCTACGGAATCATAGAATAGTAGAGCTGGAAGAAGACTTAGTGGTAATGTAGTGCTGCTTTTTTATTTTACAGGTGAGCCTAGAGTAGGTAAGAGACTTGACTCAAGACCACAGCAAGTTAGTGACCGGATTGGACCTAGAACC